TTGAGTTTCAATGTTAAGTCATTTATTTGTGTTCTTTCTGATTTTTTGATGTAGGCACTTAGAGCTATAAATTTCCCTCTAAGGACTGCCTTCAGCATGTCCCCGAGGTTTTGTTATGTCATATTGTCCTTTTCATTTAGTTCCAGGAATACGTTTCTTTCTTAATTTCTCTTTTGACCCATTCATCATTCAGGAGTGTGTTGTTTAATCTCCATGTGTTCATGTGGTGATTAGGGTTTCTTCTGGTGTTGATTGTAAGCTTTATTGCATTGTGGTGTGATAGAATGCATGGAATTATCTAAATCTTTTTGTATTTTTTGAGGTTTGTTTTGTGCCTCAGTGTATAGTTGATTTTGGAGAAGGTTCCATGGGGTGCTGAGTAGAAAGTATGTCCTTTGGTGCTTGGGTGGAATACTCGGTAGATGTCTGTTAAATGTATGGTATTGTTTAATTCAGATATCTTTCTGTTTACTCTCTGCCCTGTTGACCTATCTTATGGAGACAGTGGGTATTGAAGTCCCCCACTCTTATTGATTTGGGATTATTCTTGGTCTTAAAGTCCTGTAGTATTGTTTTTATGAAGTTGGGTGTACCAGAGTTTGTTGAATATATGTTCCAGATTGTAATATCTTCTTGATTTATTGTTCCTTTGATCAGAATGAAGTGGTCCTCTTTATCTCTTCTGATTAAAGTCTATTTTGTCAGATATTAGAATTGCTATGCCTGCTTTTTTCTTAGTACCATTCACTTGGTATATTTTTTTCCATCCTTTCACCTTAAAATAGTGTCTGTCCTTGAAAGTGAGATGAGTTTCTTGCAGACAACAAAAAGATGGGGTTTGTTTCTCAACATAAAGATTGGTTTTGTTTCTTAATCCATTCACCTAGTCTGTTGTTTGACTGGGGAGTTCAGTCCTTTAATATTTAAAGTTATTAATGAAAGATAGGTATTGAATCCTGTCATTTCCATTTCTCTTTATGTTCTTGATATAGGTGTACTTTTCCACAGTTATACCTTCATTGGATTTCTTTCCACAACCCCTTGGGTCATTCCTTTCCTCAGCTCTTTGTATTGCTTCCAGAACTCTCTGAAGGGCTAGGTTTGTGGATATGAATTCCTTCAGCCTATTTGTATCATGGAAGATTTTTCTTTCCCCTTTGACTATAATAGACAATTTAGCTGGGTATAGTATTCTGGGTTGGCACCCGTGGTCATTTAAAACTGAGAATACTTTGGTCCAGGCTCTCTGGCTTTCATAGTTTGCACTGAAAAGTCAGCTGCAATCCTAGTGGGTTTTCCTTTATATGTGACTTGTTTCTCTTTTGCAGCTTTCAGTATTGTTTCTTTGTTTTGTATGTTTAGTGTTTTTACTATGATGTGGTGTGGATTGTTTCTTTTTTGGTCCTGTCTGTTTGGTGTTCTATATGCTTCTTGTATTTGTATGGGCATGTCTTTCTTTAATTTTGGGAAATTTTCTTCCACGATTTTGTTGACGATCTGGTCCATGCCATTATCTTGGGATTCTTCTCCTTCCTGTATGCCTATGATTAATAGTTTGGTCTTTTTATGGTGTCACACAATTCCTGCATTTGCCGTTCTTGTGATTTCTTAAATTTTTCATAATCTTTGCTTGAGTGGTCTAGTTTGTCCACTTTATCTTCCAGTCTTGATAGCTCTGTTTTCCATTTCATTCATCCTATTGGTGAGGCTTTTTCCTGTCATTTCTAATTGGCTTACTGAGTGTTTCACTTACTTCTTCATTTCAGCCTGAGTATTCGTCAATATTTCCAACTCTTTTCTGAATTCATTCGGAAGTTTATTCCTATCTTCCTCAGTTCTTTGATTTCTTTTTTTGTGTGTTCTTTAAATTCACTGAATTCTTTTATCATGATTATAATTGTTTTTTTGAGTTCCATATCCTGCATTATCTCTAGGGGGTTCTCATTGTACTTCTTTAGAGGACTATTGGTGTTTGTTGGGGATATGTTATTTTGGTTTTTCATGTTATTTTTTTTCTCTGTGATTTTGGCATGCGAATTTCTTCTGTAGTTTCTGATTCTTGTGTGAGACTCAAGCCTTCAAGTTTAGGTCTGCTTCTTTTTGTGAACTTTATGTGTCTTTGTGGTTTACTTTTTGGTCATGAAAAGCTGGTTCCTGTAAGCTTCGGGTTTTCTCCTTTGATTTTTATATTGGAGTGGCCAGATTGCTTTTGTCTTCAGGAGTTCCCACAGAGGCCCAAGTCAGATGAAGATTAGATGCTCTCAGGTTTTCTCCTAAGGTCTGGATCCTCCAGGAAAGATTTTGGCCTCAGGAAATTGGGGGTTGGACTGGCCTGTGAGCCTGGCCTAGTAAACATGCTGGTCTAGGGCATTTGGTGGGTATGCCACCAAGAGATGCAAAGATAGCTGGGGGCAGGAAGCCACCCCAACGGCTCCTGGGGACTGCACTGAGGAGCTGGGTTGGTCTGGATGCAAAGGATCAGGAAGAGGAAAGGTCAGCCCAGGACCAGGAAAGAGGCTGGCCCAGGGAAGTAGAGGAAGGTGAGGGTGGGGCCAGGCCCAGAGTGCTCCTGGGGACCTGGGAGGAACTGAGTTGGTCTGGATGCAAAGGATCAGGAAGAAGCAGTGGTGGTTCCCCCAAGTGTCTGGGATGCCAAGACAAGGAATGGGACAGGACCCAGGCTAGGAGGAGAGACTGGAGGGGGAGATGGGAGGGTGAATGAGGCTGGGGGAGTCAAGGCCTGGAGGGTGCAGGTGCGATCTGTTTACCCTGGAGAGAGACGCCTGCAGGATGGAGAGAGCTGATTATTAAAGGATCTGTCTATCATCTATCTATGTAAAGAGAACCTAGAGACCCTAAACATCCTTATAGATGTCTTTGCAGACATCTCTGTAGGTCCTTGGGTCCTAACTAGATTGGAGTCGGGAACACCCATGTTCAAAGCACTGGCTCCACAGGTGCTGGGAGCTTCCCTTCCAGGGGGTTCCCAAGCCCTTCTTAAGTTTTAGTCCTGGAAAGAAGGATCAAAAGGGCAGGGTGTGTGTGTGTGTGCGCGCGCGCTCCGTCCCCCCACCCCACCTCCCGACTTCATCAGATCAAAAGGAACACAGAGAGGGGTCAAATATCCAGAGCAAACCTTGTCCACTTTGAAACCACTCAGACTCTTGTGAAGAATTCCTGTCCAGTTCCAGAAGGAGTTGGCTCCTGAGACCTTCAGTGTCCACAGAAATCACAAAAGTGATTTTCTAGGTGGAGGAAGGCTCTCTACATTTCCAAAAGTACCACGATGCTCCCAGAGGTACAGGAATTACAGGGTGCAATATGCAGGAATTAGTTTGAAATTGAACAGTTTCTGCAAGCAGTAGTGAATTGACCAAATGCTTCTCAAAGACCTCTTAACATATGACTCGACCAGATGTCTTTGAATCCACACTGTGAGAATCCTTCCTACTTATAGAGAAAAGTCACATGCAGCAACCTGTTTGCTGGTGAACATAGTAAGATATTTAGGCAGACTGATGACCATTTCTTAAAGCCTGAACGGACTTCGGTTTGCTTTGAGAATTTAGGGGTGGAATTTTGCTTTTTATGCAAAAGCAGTAACAGGTTATACATGAGTATATGTGGGAGTGTACATATGCACATTTTTCCCCCAAAATAATCAATTACTTCACCTTTGCAAGTTCCAGCATGTGCTGGATTTAAGGATTGCTTAGATTCACAGAACCCCCTTCCTGGTCAAGAACATCCTCCCCACCCCAATCCTAGGGACTTTCCCTCACATGTGGCTAGGTCACCCGCGCCCTCACCCCAGCTCAGAATCTCTCCACTGTGCTCAACACCCAGGCCTCAGCCTGCCCCGCGTTCCTTCCTCTTCCTGGTGGCGGTGGGAGGAAATTGGGGAAGATCTCTTGTGGGGACCTAGAGCACCACCTGTGATCTCCACTGTGCTCAACACCCAGGCCTCAGCCTGCCCCGCGTTCCTTCCTCTTTCTGGTGGCGGTGGGAGGCAATTGGGGAAGATCTCTTGTGGGGACCTAGAGCACCACCTGTAACCTTGTGCCCCAAATCTCTCCCACCGCGCCTGGCCTGGCCACACTCAGGGTACCTGGCAGGCCTGGGGAGCTCTGATGGGCAGAGACCCGCGATGAGGGTCAGCCCCCAGACGCCGAGGGTCAGGGCCTCCCCCCACCCCTCCCCGGCCACTGCCCGGGAGGATGGAGGTGAGGAAGGGGAGCGAGCCGCGCCCTCGGGCGGGCCGGGAGGACGCCACGGCCGCAGCCCGAGGACCCCGCGTCGCCCTCCCGAGCCAGGGTTCTCGGGAGCGGGCCGCGCCGGAGACGTTGGCGGGAGGAGTTCGCGGCTGTTGGGGGAACCGGCTCCAGGAACAGTCCCTTCCCGGGTGGTCTCGGCGGGCCGGCAGGCCGCGGTCCACCCTCCGGGGACGCGGGCCGGAAGGAGGCGCGAGTGCGGACGTGCGGTCCTCGGGGCTGGCCGGGGCAGCGCGGCGTCGGAGCCGGGGCTGCGCGGTTGGCTGTGCCCCGCAGTGCCGGGAGGATCGCGGCGCTTCCCGCCCGTCTGCGCTGCAGGTGAGCCGGTCACCATGGCGATGCGGCCCGGACGGGCACGCTCGCGGCGGTTGGCATGGAAGCCGAGCCCGTGGGGCCCGGGCCGCTGATTGGCCGAGTCAACAGACGCGGGCGGGTTGAAAGGCCTTAGTGGTGAGCGCTGCGGCGGCGGCGGCTGGGAGCCTGGCGACCGGCTGGAATCTCCGGACACCTCTGTCCCCTCCCTCCCCGCCTTGCCGCGCCCCGGCTGCCCCTAGCCTGGCCCGTTGTGCACTTGCTAATTGCTCCAAACATATTGAGAAATAACCCCGTGAAGAGCAGGGCCTGCTGTGGTTCCAGGAAAGTTTGGGGGTCTTCTGGCTGGTGAGAAGCATCCTGCTTGTCACTTGGGAAGGGGCCACACTTGTCTGCCGTCAGGAATCCTGGATTTTGTTTGGGGTCAAGGAAGATGGGAAGAAAGATCAGGGATATTGGGCTTAATTGGCCCCCCCAATTGATGTGGGCTTACAATCCGGATGTGGGATTTTGGCAGGATCTTTGAAACCTTTAGCCTGATGTTGGATGAAAGCTCAGAGAAATTTAAACCACTGTTTTGGTTCAGAGCAGCTTTGACTGCTTTTTAAAACCTTTTAAAACCTTAATGTTTGTTGGAAAGATTAGAAATTGGTGGTGATTCTGGGGCTTGGCGCTCTTCCTCCCAGAGATTCTCTGCGTCCCTGGATCCCCAAATGCAGAGAGTTGACGAATCTTGACTTGTCTCTCTTTCCTCAATAGCAGCAGGTTGTGGTGTGCTAGGCAATGCGTCGCAACAGTTCCAAGAATGGAGTCGCTCTGCCTCCTGTGGCCCGAGGTCCCGATGCTTGTCAGATGCTCACCGGAGCTCAGCTGGGCCAGGATCCCCCACAGAGAACAGTGCTAGGGGTACTGACTGAGAATGAGCAGTACAGGCGAACCTGTGGCCAGGTAATGATTCAAAAGTACCCAGAAAGATGCTGTAGAGAATGGCTCTCCAGGCACAGTTACTTTTACAAAATTGTTCTTGATGTGTGTGTATGAGTGTGTGTGTGTGTGTGTGTGTGTGTGTGTGTGTGTGTGTTTAGGGGGTGCTTTTCTTTCACAGGGGTAACTCCAACTACCCCTGAATATTACCACTCTAAAGTGTGAAATATAGAGAAATTTTCTCGAGATCATCCACCCCTTTGAGATAGAAACAATGATTTTTCTGTGATGTTATTTTTTCCTGGATTGGGATTAAGTCTAGGAACTGTTTGGGTTAAGCATGTATAGATGCTTTAAGGGTTCATCTGAAAAGAAATTTGATTACTCGAAATAAGACTACAGTACTGGAGTTCCCCTGGGTCAGAAAGTTATGTAGTGTGAGCCAGGTCAGCCTGAAGCAACCTGGGAGAGCCTGTGCTATGTTCACTGGGAATAGTGTGTAGGTCAGGATCAGGTTAGGATAAACAAGGTTTCTTTAGACAGATTGCTTTCCAGAGCAGACATCTCTAGCACAAAGAGCAGCCAAGCAAACAGGTAATTTATTAGTTGTGCTCTTACCTGATTATAGGAACTTCCTGTTAAAGAGAGAAAACAAATTTAGACACTTAAACGCAGAGGAAAATTCATTCTTAAAAATTTTGTTTTTAAGAATGAATTTTTGAGATAGAAAAAACCCACCTTCCCTCTCAGCCTGTTGTTAGATAAGCCCTGATAATGAATGTTGCAAATTTGTATTGCATGTCTGTGGAACCTGATGGTCAGAAGAGTTCAGTCACGCAGGTAGGCACAAACTCTTCCTGTTTATAGATGAGGAGGTAAGAGATGTTTTTTGGTACAGGTTTGTTTAGAGCTTCCTCATCTGCTGCCTCTTCAGCCAACTGCTTTTTGGTGGGATTGTATAGGAGGGGAAAATGCCAAAATGGTCTTTTTAATGCCTTGGAGACAGTTGAGTGAAAGTAGTTTTAATAATGTTGACTTGCTTAGCGGTATTCACTTCTTAAACTTACAGATCTAAGACCTGGTATTTATGAATTGGCAGCTGTGTCTACGCTGAATGGCCTTATTTGAAGTTCACAATCGGCCCTCCTGGTGCCTGGCAGCATTGCTTGGCACTTCCTCTCCACTTATCTCCTCCACAGTCTTCTTAGAAGCCCGTTTCCTCCTGACTTCCCACTTACTATGCTTTGTTTTCATTTTGATTTTAAAACAATTGTATTTTATTAATTAATTATTATTATTGTGTGTGTTATGTACATATGACATGTGACCATGAGCACACATGCCACAGTAAGTATGTGTAATTCAAAGAACAGCTTTTGGATCACAATATTTCTTTCTCCTATGGGTTCCGAGGATTGAATTAGATCATCAGGCTTGGTAGCAAGCACGTTTGACCACTGATTTGTCTTGCTGCCTTCCATGCTTTAATTCTATGCAATTTCTGCTCCTTTAAGGAAAAAGTTGACTATGTCATACTTTCCAAAAACTGTAGAAACATCCAGAACATACTCTCCTGGGTCTTTCTCACTTCTGAAGAGGGAGTAGAGTGTCTCTAATCCCACTGTAATCTAATCTGTCTTCGAACCCATTATATAGTTCTAATTGGCCTCAAGCTCATGATCTACTTATCTCAGCTTCTCCAGTGCTGTGATTACAAGTTTGTATCCCACACCAGGCCTACAACTGGAACATTAAATGTGTCTCTGTGCCATATAACCCTGCCATCTCCATTCTGTCCTGTGATCCGTGTGTCCCAGCTCTTGTACAAGTGTATAGTACTTCACACCCTCTTAGATGTTCAAGGGTTCCTCTTTAACAACCTTTCTCTTCAGTTTTCCCTTCTCTTCTTGATCAAACCCATAGGAATACAAATACATTGTAATTGTTTTCCATCTTCCAAATCTTTCAGCTATACAGAGCTTTGCAGCTCCTGTCCCATCAATACAACACATCTTAGTGTTGTCTATCTCAATAGCATGCACATTGTACCAGGGTGACAGTTTGGAGTGTCACCTTCTCTGTGGTATCCTTAGTGCCTACAAGAGTGCCATGCCTGGCCAAGGGAGCACACAAAGATTTGTTGGATGAATGCTCTCTGTTTCTGGGTCTTCTCTTGCTCCCTTTCCACTCAATTCATAGTTCTTTCCTCCTTTGATTTATCAGCAGCATCTCGCATAGATGGCTGTTCTTGCTTCTTTGAAATAGTTCCTTCTTGTTCAGCTTGGAGACTAGGACTGTCCCCAGATGTTCCACACTGCTCATTGCCACTCCTCAGTTTCCTGGCTTTTCTTTACGATGCCTGCAATCTCTGCAAGATAGAGTACCCAGGGCTAGCTTTTGTTTTTTGAGACAGACTCCTGTCACCTTGGTTTGCCTCAAACCCAGTATGTTGCTGGGGATGATCTTGAACTCTTGGTCCTCCCTGCCTCTATACCGCAAGTGCAGAGATTATAACCATGTACAGCTATGCTGTGGCCTCCCATGACTAACTATTGGTTAGGGTCTTGGACTCATTCCCTTTGTAATTTCTTTAAGTCTCCTAGAAATGCCAAAGTTTCATTTTTTGTCTCTAGCCTAGCCCTCTGAATTATAATGCAGGCTCATGCATCCACCAGCCTGTTTGACATCTTCACTTGGATCTTATCAATAGGTGCCTGGTACTTACACAAAACTAAACTCCAGCCCTTCTCCCTATTTCCAATTGTTATTTCCCAGATTTTCATCTTTGAAAATAGAATATCTATCCTCCTTTTTATCAGCCTTGAAGTCTTTGTCATCCTTGACTTTCTCTCTCATCTGATCTACTGAAGATCATATTACTAGTTGTACCTTGAATATGTGTCTAATCTCTTCCTTCTTATGTTTTTCTGCTACTACTCTGGTTCAAATGTCTTTATGTCTCACATAGAATTTGCATAAGTTCCATAATTGGCTATTTCACTCTGATCTTATTGTCTCCACCTGTACATACACAGAATGCTCCCTTTACAATACTCATCAAGTCACATCCCTCCTCTGCCTTACATCTCTCCATGGCTTTCCTCTCTTCACAAAAGCCACCCGTTAGATGTCCCATGGGAAGACCCCCATGAACTGGCTTTATCTACTCTGAGTTCTTATCCTACACAGCCTTTGTTCTCGCTCTTACTCTGCTCTGCTCCTACTGTATCTTTTTTTGTTTGTCTTTCCTTGCATCCCTTGTCTCTGGATTGAACATTATGTTCACTGCCAAACTCCAGGCAGCTAGAGTAGTCTGGCATAGTAAATGCTCAGTGAATACCTGTTTAAGGAATAAGTTGCACACACACACACACACACACACACACACACACACACTCATGCACACACAACAGAAGTCACTGGCAGTAACATGGAGTCATAACTGTTGGGTTGTATCTTGTGATTGTACCCTTTCATGGCCCCTTGGACTTTTTCTCGAATACTGTGTCATAAATATTTTCTTATTGGACATAAGCCATAAATTTAACTCACTTAATGGAAAGGAAATTTGTGGAACTACATATGAACTGGGAATTGACCTTCAGTAGAAGTCACCAAGATTATTAAATAAGTAAGCTGTTCACATAGCTTATAGTGCTAGCTAGCATTTACAGACATAAAATTCCATCTCCCAAGCCTGTCCTGGCTGACCTGACTTTCATGACATCCACATGACTTGTCTTAGATGTCTGATGCATGTGCTTGCTCATCAGCAGTACCATAGTTGTTCCCATTATTCTTGCTATAAGAATACAGAAAAGTAGGGGCTGGAGAGATGGCTCAGCAGTTAAGATTACTAGCTGCTCTTGCAGAGGGCACAGGTTCAGTTCCCAGCACCCACAAGGCAGCTAACAACCATCTATAACTCCAGTTCCAGGGGACCCAATTCCTCTGCAGGCATTGCATAACACTGGTGCACTTACATATAGGCAGGCCCTATATTCATACACATAAAAAAGAATATAGAAAAGAAATGATTTGAGAAATGTTCCTGAGTAATTATGTTCTGTTATACAAAAAAGATTTTATATCTTGTAAGAGCATTTAGTAGTATGGATTTCCAGAATCATCATGTTTCCAAAGAACTGGGCGTGAAATGGAAGCTTTGTGGGAGCTTGCAACTAAAAGTTAGCTATTTAAGGAGAAGGGCTAGAGGGATTCAATAGCCCATTATCAAGAACTATGCTGAGTTATTTTTATTTTTAATTAATTAGTTTGTTTGTCTTTTTGAGACAGGGCTCCCTATAGCCCTGTCTCACTACGTAGACCAGGCTGGCCTGAATCTCTCAGAGATCCACCTGCCTCTGTCTCCCAAGTAAGTGCTGGGATTAAAGGGTGCACCACCAAGCCCTGCTCTGAGTTCTTGTAAAATCTTGCAAAATGCTAGAAGCATAAAGGCCAATTTGCAATTTCCCTCTCACGTATTTTGTAGGAGAGGTATAGCTTTTCTTCTTTTTACATCTTGAATTCCCTTTAATATCTGTGTAAGAAAGATGACAGATTTTAGGCAGAACTATTTCATCTGTCAAACACAGACAAAAGTAAAGGGAAAGCCATCCTTTCAATGGTTCATTCTCTAGACTAGATGCCAGTGTAGATACTTCTACTTTGAATTTGCTCTCACCTTCCCAAGCTGCTGGATTGTGTGACACAGGCTCACGTTGCTCACATTTGATGATGCCTAACAAGCTATGCACCCATTTTCTTGTGGTGTTGTTTTGTTTTTTTCTTAAGGAGATCACAACAATCAGGTGTTTTTCTGGATTGGAAAATGTCTTCCCTCCAGCTGGGAAAAAAGTACTCTCTGACTGTGGCATCCAGGAGCCAGCCAAGCATGGATTTGATATCTACATGGATGAGCCTGAACAGGGGGACCGAGACAGCTACCCAGGGAGAGAGGGAATAGTCTTTGAGGATGTGTATGAAGTGGACACCAGCATGCTCAAGTCAGACCTCCACTTCCTGCTGGATTTCAATACAGGTAATCAGACTCCCCTGTGGCTGCTGGTGCCCTGTGTTCACAAACCCTCTGCAGTTTCAATAAAGAGTAACTGGCAAGAGAGAAACACCAAGTGATGACTGAATTCACAGCTGCCTGTGAGGGTGAGTGGATGTGGTGAGTCATTACATGAAATGACTTATCTGCCTATGTTGAACCTCTCCAGTTTCCCCGATGCTGGTAGACTCAGCTATCCATTCCCGGTCTGAAGAGGCATCGGATTTTGGCTCAGATGTGATTAATGTAACTGAATATGCTGAAGAAATTCATCAGTACCTTAGAGAATCTGAAGTGAGTTTGCCCAACTTCTACTTCAATATCCAGATCTTAAGCTCTTTATATCACAAGTTCTTAGCCACAACCACTAGTGAATGGCACTAATGTGGCATCTAAACGAATGAAATATGAAAATGTTGCTCTCATGAGTTTGATGAATTTGACAGTCCTGAATCTGAACTGCTCCAAAATCTGAACCTTTTTTAAGCATTGGCCTGCTGTCACACATGGAAAATCCCACGAGTGAAACTATGTTTCATGTACAAGATTATTAAAAGTATTGAATCAAATGACCTTCAAGCTGTATGTTGAAGGCAGAGATGAAACATAAATCAATGTGTGCTTAGACTTGGGTCTCACTATGTACATGGGACCCTCCACATCAGAAAAGAAGCACTCTGATCCCACGTACTTGGGATGAGGGACACCCAACCTGATGTTGAGCGGCAATCATGTGAATGCTTTCTGTATGATTTAAAGTATCCACATACTAAGTGTTTCACACTCAGGATTGGCACACCTTGCTATTTTCCTCCTCTGAACTGGCTTATTATATGATAGAACCAGAATCTTGTAGTCTCTTCCTTATAGTGATAAAGGTTTATTTGGCTTAGAATCAGTTTCCTCCTAATCTTTGCTCTTGAGATTTCTTTTAAAATAGAAACAATACCAAGGAATGATCTTTTTGATAGTGCAGTGATTTGAATATCCAAATTATTTCCTCCACCAGGTAAGACATAGACCCAAGGCCCACTACATGCGGAAGCAGCCGGACATCACTGAGGACATGCGTGCCATCCTGGTGGACTGGCTGGTAGAGGTTGGGGAAGAATATAAACTTCGCACAGAGACTCTGTACCTGGCTGTCAACTTCCTGGACAGGTTTCTTTCCTGCATGTCTGTTCTGAGAGGGAAATTGCAGCTTGTTGGGACAGCAGCTATTCTTCTCGCTTCGTAAGCGTTCTTTCAGCTTGAATCATGTGAAATGCCACCTGTCAAAACACTTGATTTTTTCCCTCTATTTATTGAAGAAATGTGATGCTTGTAATTAAAATGATTCATGCTTCTTTTTTGTTAAAAGATCTTCGTCCCTTGCAGAATTAACTGAGAAACTGAATCTTGCCCACATAATCACTTTCCAATTCAGATGTTTAAAATTTATAGCCATAAGTTCAATATCATAACTAAAGCAGCTATCAGCTCAAATTCAGGATCTAATGTAACTATTTTGCAGTGTAGTCTTTTGGTTGAGTTCTGATACAGGTAGAAATCCTGTTTAAGGAGATTTTTATTTTATAAAAGCTCTCCTCATGATCTAGAAAACAAAACCTAATAACACAGTTTATTCATTTCGTCCACTGAATAAATGGTTTTAGCTGGTTCCTGTTCTTGTCAGTGATTTATAACAATACCTAATTGTGTGGGAAAGGAAAGCTGGATTGTGGTTGAACTGGCTTCAGTGACCTGTGGCTGAATGCTAGTTTCTATTCTTTGGGTCTTGACTATTTTAGATACTAAGGTGTGAAAACATGCTAATATTTCCTTAAAGAAAGAAAACAGCAGAAGGAAAGAAATGATAACAGTGAAATTATGTCATTATCTTTCTTTGGCCAGCATCATTTGCTAATTCAATAGGGAATGTTGAACATAATCTAAAGGAAAAAAAGCAAAGGCCTGTGGAGTTTTTATTTTCTGTTATTGGGTTTATCATAACATTCTTTTCCACAAAACAATTTGGTGTCTAGAGAACTACCAGGAGTACATATGTCATCTCTGTCTTTTTAAACCATTCAGTGTTTCAGATGTCACAGCCTACAACTCTTGGTTGGAATGGTTTCAATCATTACTCTAAGCAACTGGTATAACATAGCCTGTAATACTCACTTTGAGTCAAAAGAAGCTCCTAATATTTTTATAGCTCTGTGCCATTCTCTGATATCTAAGTGGAACCGGGAACTAAACTGAAGAAGGCTACAGGGTTATCTTGAGAAAAATGGGAAATAGAGGCATGGGTTCTAAACTTTTTTTCTAAGAATTCTTTACTTTTCCCAGGAAATATGAAGAGATATACCCACCTGAAGTAGACGAGTTTGTCTACATAACTGATGATACATATACAAAACGACAACTGTTAAGGATGGAACACCTGCTCCTGAAAGTTCTAGCTTTTGATCTGACAGTTCCAACCACCAACCAGTTTCTCCTGCAGTACTTAAGGCGGCAAGGGGTGTGCATCAGAACCGAGAACTTGGCCAAGGTATGCCGCATAGTTTTCCAGGAATATCTGATAGCCCCAGGGCTAAAAAGTCACCTGTCTCTACTGTCCTTCAGATGCTCCTTTCCAGTTTTCCATCTTAAACCCAGTAAACCTTTGTAGCAATGGGAGACAATTTAAGGACTATGACACCAGGTTATAAGACATTACTATTGACTACACTTGGCAGTCACAGTTCACCTAAACCACTCAACTACTGAAGAGATTTAAGCTTGGAAACCATTCCCTTCATGGATACAGACCATGTGCAAGCACTGCTTTTTAATTTGGGAACAAAGTGAATACAGTTGAACTTGATTTTCATCTGACTCTAGCTTAGTAAGAAACAAAGCATTATCCAGTCATTTGGCCTTATAGAAGTTTAGTTGAAATCATTAACGTATTGATTTGGCCAACATGCTTGTCAGTCATTATGGTACAGGATATCTATAATATGTGTGCTCTGCAAAGAGTGATGATGATGTCCACATGAATTTTCCAGTCTTCTTCTGGTCATATGTTTCCATTGGCATTGCTCTAGCTTGTGAACTGTATTCATTTGCCTCACGAATTAAAAGGTTTAATATGGTCACAGTTTTCCCTTTTCATTGACGGCTCTCTTCCTATTCCAGATGCTAGAGCAATACTACCCAATCTAACCACCATAAGATGAACTATTAGCATAAGAAAAGAAAAGTAACCTATCACATATACTATGTGCATAGGCCCAAAACTAGGGTACTGAACACACATCTTACTGTTTAAGGACAGTCAGACCAATTATCAAGGAGGTAAATATGTCTGACTTCATTTCTGGGCTCCTCACTAGATTCTTTTAAATGAAGAGGAAGGCATAATTGATTACATTGAAATTTCTAGGCTTACTAGGTTTACTTATAGCTTTAATCAAATTTGACCTTGGCCAAATTTATAACTCCATTGAGATTTCCTCTCTTGTGCTTAGTATGTAGCAGAACTGAGTCTTCTTGAAGCTGACCCATTCTTGAACTATCTTCCTTCATTGATAGCTGCGGCGGCTTATTGCCTGGCAAACTATACTGTGAACAGGCACTTCTGGGTAAGGTCCTTTCTTCTTTCTAAGTGAAATGAGAGCTTATGTAAAATCTGTTCAGGGACATTCAAGGCTTAGAATGGACATGTGTCTTATGAGGGCAAGTGAGTTTCATAATAACTGGTTGTCTATACAGCAGACCACAGCTTGCTTCTGAGTCTTTCAGAACAGCTGTCATGACTTTGAGTCCATGACTTCACCTGTGGGAGCAGAGATAACAAGGAATTATGCTTGGAGGGCCTTGAGGTTTATTGGTCACTGGCCACATCAAACAAAAGTTGATCCTAGTCAGGCATGGTACATATCTATGTTCCCAGCACTTTTGAGGTGGAGGCAGAATGCTTTTGAGTTCAAGGCTATCCTGGGTCACATAGGGAGACTCTGACTCAAAAAAATGTCAACCTTCTCCCTTTGTAACAAAACAAAACAATCCTTCAAGTTCAATAAGGACTGTTAGAAGGTTGCACCGTGCTTTCAGAGAACAGGGCTGTCAGTGCTGTCTCTTGCTCATAGAAGCTGACTAGATCAGAAAAAGCCCTTACATTTTGTTCTGAAGTCTCCCGTGTGCTAAAAGAAGTAAGGTGTTGAACTTTATTTTCTAGGATACTAAATGAATATTTAAATTTTAAAATGTGTACTGGTCTTGTGTGTGTGTGTGTGTGTGTGTGTGTGTGTGTGTGTGTGTGTGTATACACAAGGGTGCATATGCAGGTCAGAGCACAACTTTCTTTCCATCAAGGACTCCTGGGATTGAACTTGGGTTTTCAGACTTCTGCAGCAAGTACTTTAACCTCCAAGTCATCTCACTGGCCTTAAATCAATATTCTTATGCTTCCTTTTGACTAAGAATATTTCATATCCTGTACAAATTCCTTAAGAACCAGCAAAAGTTCCAGTCCTGAGGGAACAAGGAAAGTGATCTGTACCCAAACTGAGAGTTACCAATATACAATGTGAGCAAACCTAGCAATTTAGAACTCTGTCTGTTTTTGTTCATAGTCCCTACCTAAGATTTCTAAAGGAAGTGATTATAGATTCTTTTTGATATGAAAACTCGTTCCCTTAACCTTATAATAAGTTATATTCATATTCTAATATCTTACAAAGTTATGTGAAGCAATTTTTTTTCTTTTGTTTCAATTAGCCAGAAGCCCTTGCTGCATTTACAGGCTATTCATTAACTGAAATCGTGCCTTGCCTGAGTGAGCTGCACAAAGCATACCTCAGTATACCCCGTCGACCCCAGCAAGCAATTAGGGAGAAGTATAAGACTTCAAAGTAAGTTGCTGACATTCTCTCTGCTTGGCTGTCTTCTCCAGTAAAGTTTAATGGGCTGTTGTAGAGTCAGACTAAAAACAGAATAAATTCTTTCTGCTGTTAGGATGGAAAAGTAAGATTATTTGCTAAATCAAAAAAAGGACTTTAGAATGGTCTAGATTCATAATTTGCCAGATTTTAGTACTTATAGTTAGGCAGCCTCCTTCTGATCTTTAAGACTCCTCTAGAAGTTTTCTGTAGCCTAGCTGAGGTTTTATAGACTGACCTCCTCGACCTTGGGCTGATGGTGCTGTGATGTCGTTCCAGGTACCTGCATGTGTCCCTCATGGAGTCACCTGCAGTTCTTCCTCTGCAGTAGGTGGCAGAGCTGAAGCACTTCCAGAATTCAACCACCACGTCAGCAAACTTGCTCTTCATTTGGATAGGTTTCTGCAAATTGGGTCAACGGATGTCTATGTAGACGACATCTTAAAAATTTAATGTTAGGTTCCCTTACAGTTTAGTAACATAATATAATATAGATGTAGACTAGCATTCTTTTAAGAATAAACAGCTTGCCTTTGACCATGTGTTAGGCCTATTTACTAGTTAATATAGCTGACACATTGACCTGGAATTTTAGTTGAGAGCACTGTTAGTATCACGAGGATCTCAAACATGCTAAGTTGATTTTAGAAATGTGATATACTGCTCAGATTAAGTGCTTTGAGGCATCCAAGGACTTTTGAGTTCGTTAAATGACTTTTCCCACTCTGTGAAGCTCTCCATAAACTGATGAAAGGAAGGCAAGCAGGGCCACTCCAGGAAGATTGGTGAAGAGATCTGAGTGGGCTGCATGTTCCAGCTTCCTCTACAGCCCTAGTCAGCAAGGCAGTGGGTATCCAGGTACCTCCTGCAGGTGACAACACAGAGCTCTCCTGCCCTTTTATAAAGGGTTGTCATCATGTCTATTCAGGTGGGATGTGGGTAGTCATAAAACGTGTATTTTAATCTTAGAGGATACTTTGGGAAGTTGAAAAGCAAATTTCACCGTAAGATGACACTTTAGAAGAGTGAAGCCCACCCCTCTATATTTCTCTTGGGGGAAATCTAGCTTAAGC